ACATTTTGACCCTTGGCATGGATTTTGACAACTATCACTCCCTTCGTATGAGATTTCTTCCTTCTGGTTATTAAAAAGAAAAAAAAATCCAGTATTTGTTTTAGCTCGGCTCCCTGGAAGTTAGAGAGGAGCTAGAGAACCCTCCTGGGGTTGGGGGCAGGAACCTGGGACAAAGGCATCGGGTGGAGGCAAGAGAGAGGGTTCCTTTCTCTCTTTTGGATCAAGATATGCTTATGGGATAAAACCTGAGGAAGCAGAATTTAGAAGTATCCTTGCTCAGGCCCAGCCAGGCAAAGAGAGCCAGCGGCCGAGGCCAGACTTACTCAGCACATGATCGGATGGCCCAAAACAGATCTCCCGGGATGGACTTGCCCTGGACGGTGCCCATCAGTGTGGAAATGAGGTCAGCCTCTGTCCAGCCAGAGTCCAAGTCCCAGGAAGCGGCGGCAACCCCATCACTGGCCAGCCAGCTGGAGGGGCCACAGCGCATCACACACAGAACCGCCGTGAAGATACACAGGTGTGCACGGACTTCTTCATGACTTTAGGATGTGGTCACGCTCACCATACCTGGTAAGCCCGTAAGGCCCCTGAGACGCAGGCAGTGGACCTTCTCACCACTTCTGTTTGGTCTCATAGGAAATGTCCAAGTTCAGAAAGTCTACTACTGTCTAGTCCCTTCTTCAGATAGAACATCCAAGTCTCGGTGGGCTTAATTGACCCATCCGCGGTTAGAAAAACCTCTAGATGGTCCAGGACTGGAATTCAGGGTTTCGAACTCTGAATACGGTCTTTCGCTCCATTTCGGGACACGTTGGGGAAAGACCCAGTCACAGACCATAAAACTCACAGACCACCAAAAATCCGTTACCCCCAGGTCAGGAACTCGGGAACAGACTCTGAGCACGTGTGTCCTGGAGAAGAGCCAAGAGCGTGGGTGTTTTCCTTTCTCCCTTTCCCGTGGCCATTGAGTTTCTCCTATGTGTAAAGATTCCCCTCCCCTTTGTCCAGCTCTGATAAAGTGAGGCACTGTTGCTTGTATTTTGGTGAAGTTCCAAATGCTGCGCTCACACGTCCCTCCCTCCGTTTGCACGTATTTCCCTTCCATGTCACCGCCACCCGTATGCAGGACCATAGGCACCACGTCAGGGAAGGCACCACGGGGAGGAGAGGGGGGGAAACGTCATCTTCTTCTAAACATACAAAAACTGACAATGTGAGAATTTTCTAGATAAAATTAGTCACGTGTATGCCACAAAATGAGTCGGCTAAGTTAGAAAGATTAATGTGGTGACTGAACACGCAGCAGCCTTAAGGACACAGGCCAGGCCCCCGTGCTGGTGTGGGCGGGTCACCAAAGCAGCGGCATCCTATGCACTGAGTGGGACTCAGACACGAACAGGAGCACATGACCAGGGTCTCAAGGAGATTTGCATGGAGGCAAGAAAACCCACCAAAGACAATACACAAGACTCAAGCTCAAAGCTAATGGAAACCCTAGCATTTTATCAAGCAGACATCTTCTCCCTTGGCAATTCTAAGGTAACAGACTGGGAGTCTCCTGGGAGGTCACGGGTGAATCAGAAAGAAGACTGATCAGAGAGAACGGAAGCAAGAGGTAGAGTGTGCGGGAGGAGACTGGAAGCACCAGAGCAGGGAAGACCCCTTCCCAAAACCAACATGGTGCAGCATGGCCTTGTCAACTAAAGGGAAAGACATCATGGGCATAAGGTCAGGTAGGGCACGCAGGGCTGCTCGGTGACATGCATCCCAGGGATGGGAATTTCCCACCCTTGATCCCAGATCCCCTCACTTCCTATCCGTGGGACCCTGGCTGAGCTCCAGACACCTCATCCATCTCCCAGAGTCCCTGTGCATATCGTGGGCTCACACAGGAAAGCACCCGCCATGCGTGGGTCCTGAGACACGACAGGCATCCCTGATCCTCACCATGACCCTGCACAGTGGAGTTGCTGGGGAAGCGCCTGACCTGGCTCCACGGCGCTCACATTCCTTCCGCTTTGCCACCAGCTGCTGATATGCTCTAGAGCAGCAACCCCTTTTGTCAGGTTAAATATGGTATGGAACCCTCGGGACACCTGGGTGGCTCAGGCGGTTAAGCGTCTGACTTCTGCTCAGGTCATGATCTCGTGGTTTGTGGGTTTGAGCTCTGCGTCAGGCTCTGTGCTGACAGCTCAGAGTCTGGAGCCTGCTTCCTCTGATTCTGTGTCTCCCTCTCTCTCTGCCCCTCCCCTGCTCTCTCTCTCTCTCTCTCTCTCAAAAATAAATGTTAAAATAAAGTGTTTTAAAACATGATATGGAACCCCGATGAGAAAACCCCTGTGAGCAGAGCTCCACTGGCTGAAATCAGAAGACTGAGCTCAGCCTCTCACTGAAGCCCTCCCCATCCCACATTCCGACCCCAGGCGGGGCAGGCACTCAGAGAGTCCAGGGCTCCACATGCCCAGCTTGGGAACTATGAATTTAAGATATAATTTTTCACAAAGGAATGGCTCCACCAAAAATGACCACGACTTCAATAACGTGTGTGGTTACTTTTCAGACACAACATTGTCAGGTAGGTTATACTGTCAGGTCCATCTTACAGACGGCAAGACTGAGGCTCAAAGCAGCTAATCAGCTCATCCAAGGACACACACGTGATGGGTGACAGGACCGGGATTCGGCCTCAGATGCCCGCACTGTGAATCTACTATTTATTCTCTCTGATGGCAAAATTCCTTATTAGCCGTCCTTAGCCTGAAGACAAAGCGGAGCTGAGACAACAGAGTGGCCCTTCTTCCAGGCTCCCCGACCCCTTCGCCTCCAACTGACGCCACCACCTGGTCTCCTTCAGCACTGGAGACTGGAACCCACAGGAGGCTGGCATACTAGGCACACAGAACCTCCCCGGGGGCCCTCGGCCCCAACCCAGGCAGAGGCCCTCGGGCTCCAGCTGCTAGTCTCCGCGGGGGCTCACCTCGCTCATCCAGCTCTCTGGGCACCCCTCCCTCCACCCACCCCAGAAAGCAGAGCCAGGCTGGAAATGCTCTCACCAGGCCATCCAACATAGTCAGCCGTTCCCAAGCTACTGCTCCGTTGGAGACAAATCTCCCCGACCTGGTCTGCATCATAAACATGCCTTTCCCAACCCAGGGCTTGGCCCAGGACTTAAGGATTCTGAGAAATGCCCCAGAATTTGGTTCTTGGAGGGTCCCAGCAAAAAGAGATATTGGGGAAGAAGCAGACTCATTTGCATACAGTGAAGGAAAGCCACTGGGTGGTAGGCGCCCACCCTGTGCTAGGTTCTGGGGATACAGAAAGGAAAAGACACGTCTCTCTCATGACCCAGTGAGTCTTTAGAGATCATTCAGTCCCTCTTATTCATTCAAGATAGGAGAAAACGGAGACCCAGAGATGACGGATTGACCTGAGATGTTCATATGATTCAAGCCAACAGGGGCCTTTCCTGAGACTTCTCAAGCTGGAGCTGGAGGAAAAGGCTGTGTAGCTGGGGCTTTCCAGCCAGGCTGGGACCACCACACAGTGAGGGAGACGCCTGGCACAGAACGCCAGGAGAGATCAAATCCGTGGCCACGTCAATGCTTTCCAATATGTCCCCTCTAACACTTAAACCAGAGGCAGCCGAGTTTCTGTCACTTGCCACCAGAGAGTTTGAATTATGAGACCTTGCTGTGCCCATCCCCCCACATCTGCCTCTGCTTTGTGACTCAACTGTCCTCTCTCTTGCCTGCCCAAGGCACCAGGCTTTCTCCCATGCTATAGGGGCCAATGTCCCCTCCTCCAACACCCATCTCTACCAGGCTCTCCAGAGCTGCTGGGTAGAGCCTCCCCAAATCTCAGTGCCCAGCCCCCATCACCCGGGGGCTGGGTGGCCAAGCTGAGTTAAGCTAGAAAGAACAGGAGAGTTCAGGAAGGAACATGTGTCTCAGCTAACAGGGCAGGGTAGACTGTGCTGGAATGGTGGAAGAAGCTGAATGCTGTCTGAACAGGGGCGTGGTGTGACTCCTTCCGAGAGATCAGAAATGCCACAGAAAGGACAATGAGGTAGAAGGGACTAAGAACCAGGAGGCAAGGCTCCAGGCTTCATTCTGTCATGACCAGTAAACTCAAGACCTCTGCCAGTCCCAGATCCCACATTCCAAAACATCATGGTCTCTTCTCCTGTCTGCCCGGATCCAATGGACGCCGGTCTTCCTTCCTCTGGCAAGCTCCTGCCAGCTCAGGATCCTGCCAGGATGCCCAATGCCCACAGCCTCATCTCCAGATCTAGTCTTGCTATGAGCCCAGCTGCAGCGGCCCTGAGCCGTCACTAAACTGAGCAGACCCCACCCTGCCTTCTCTGCATCAGGATTAGAGGTTAGGGAAGGGACATGAGAGCAGATTTCCTGCTGTCGCTTCCATCGGACCAGACTGAGACGAGATGAGATGGAAGGCGTGTGGTGGCAGCCATGGGCGCAGTGGGGGAAGCAGGACTGGCCACCAAACAGATTATTGTGGACGCATGCGGGTCTGGGCAAGCTATTTGCCAACGCGGCTTGCATCTCAGGCTGATGTTGGCAGAAGCCCAGGGTCTCGGCCTGCAAGACGCTGGGGAAGAACATCTACCAACCCTGTTCTCCTTAAAAGGAGAGCTCCTCCTCAAACAGGCACACAGGACACAGCCGTAGGGGTGGAGAACCAGCCAGCAGCTACCAACAAGCAGGACATAGCTTCCAGCCCAGGAGGAGTTTAGTGTTTCAAACCACACATCACAAATCATTTCCTCTGCACATTCCTTGGAAGTTTGGGGGCATTAACTTTCCATCTTATCTTTCCTAGGGTGGATGCCAGGAGCTGGCCCTAGTGATGTTTGCATTTGAACAACAGTGAGATTGGGTGTCAGCTGCCCCAGGGGCGCCGAGGAAGATGAAGAAATGGAGCAGGCTGTCTCCAGGCAAAGGAGGAGAGAAGGGCAGAATCCGGATGGTATGGAATGAACAGCAAGGGAGGGAAGCGGGAAGGGGAACTGGGATTTGCTACTGCTCTACCAAATTACAGCGTGCAAAGCTAGCTCCAGGTGGTGGGCTCCTGAGTGTCACCGCCAGGGTACAAACCTCAGTTGTGCCCTCTACTTACTGTGTGACCATGTGTGAATGGGCAAACTCTCTGAACTTGAGTTTGCCTCTCAGCAAAACAGTACCTACTTCCTGGGACTGTCAGGGGCACTGAATGAGATGACAAGCGACCCTTACCCCAGCACCTGGTACACAGCAAACACTCCATCCAATCCGGACACGATTATCATTCTGCCAGAACTTCTGTGAAATTTGGTTACAGGTAGGTGGCAAAGCCTGGGTTCTGGTCTTTCTGCTGATCTCAACAGATGGGTTTTGAATAGGCAGGCTTACCTGAGTCACAGATGACCCCTCTACCTTGACCTATGAAATCCAGAGCTCTAGAAAGGCAGACAAAAGTGCAGCATTAACATTTCACCTGCTATTGCCAAAGTGATAAATAATTAGAATATTACTTAAAGATATGCAGATATCTACGTTGGCTAACCTTAAACCATTGGAAATCAGTGTTAAATTTGTCCTAGTTTTTCCTCGGGCTTGCGTCTTCTGTAAAGGGGATCTGTGCCTGCGTTATATATATCATTTGAAAAAAAAAAGAAAAAGAAAAAGAAAAAGGTTCTGCTGCTTTAAAAAAGAAAAAAGTTTGAAATCCACTATCCTAAATAAGAGCACCTCCAGATACAGGTCTGCACCTCTGAGACCTACTTCAAGTCATTTGTCTCCGGAGGAGATGCCTCTTTGAGAGTCCTGAGCGTCCAGTGGGTTGAGACCAAACCCAGGGAATTATCGCTAAAGAAACCCAAGCCCCGCTTCGGATACGTGTTGGCGGTAAACACTGACCGTACGATGTAACTATTTCTTTTGTTTTAAGAGACACTCCTTTCCTACCACTGAGGCATTGCTGTCAATTTAACAAAGCCAAAATTGAGTTCATGGAGAGAAAAGGGCCTCTTCCACTTCAAGGACTACAACCTTTGAAAATGCATTTAAAAGAGAGTAAAGTTTTTTTTAGATGTGAATAGCCAGAGACCCAGCGAGGTGTAGGAAAGGTGACCCTGCCAGAGGGCCTTCCCGAGACAAGGTTCACTCAGGTCAGCCGGCAGTCTGTCGCAGGTAAGAGGCAAGGGTCACCCTCTGCCCTCCTCCGCCCTGGCCCTGGCACCCTGGAGCCCTGACAGGTGACAACTTACTTGCAGGACTAAGCAGCCCCCTCCTCGGGGGAGGGAGTGAGGAGGGGTTGGAGAGGCCAGTCGGTAAGAAGCTTAAGAAGAAACCTTCCTTAAGAAAATTACAATCTCCACGTAGGGGCTAGGCTTGCCATCCAGCCAGAGGGCTAACTTTTTTTTTTTTTTAAGGAACTTATTGGGGCACCCGGGTGGCTCAGTCAGTCGTGCATCCGACTCCGGCTCAGGTCATGATCTCATAGCTCATGAGTTCGAGCCCTGCGTCAGGCTCTGTGCTGACAGGTGAGAGCCTGGAGCCTGCTTTGGATTCTGTGTCTCCTTCGCTCTCTGCCCCTCCCCTGCTTGTGCTCTGTCTCTCTCTGTCTCTCAAAAATGAATAAATGTAAAAAAAAAATTTTTTTTTAAAGGAATTTGTTGGAAGGATACAGGGTCGCTCACTGAATCAAAGGCAAAAACCAAAATGTATTATGCCTTGGGAAGGACGGAACTAGGTGGCTCCTGGAAATGCTAACTGGTGGCTTATCTTTCTAGAATGTGGGGAGATGGAGGTGTCCTCCCTCACCTTCCCCTGCCCCAGCTTTGGGCAGAGTGATTGACAGGTTCTCCCAACCATATCAAAGGAAGAGGGTGTAATTCAATTCCCCCATGGGAAAAATCACACTTCGGTTTTGACAATTTATCGTTTATGTGTCTTTTTCTTGTGAGAAAATAGCTTTTAGTCAAACTCCCAAACCAGTGAGAAAAGTTGGGCACTCTATCAAAATAACAGCGGAGGGGGTGGAGGAGAAGGTTCTTTTTATCTCCTTCCATCTTAATACATACTCTGGATCAGATGCTGATTTATTTGGCACTAAGGGCTGCTGTTAATCAGTTATATGTCAGCAATCATTTCCAGCGACATTTAAATTATAAAGCGCGGTGGGATTAACTGCACTTTTGCAAATTACCTCTTTATAAAAGTATGAGTAAACCTGATGTGCACCCCGGGGGTGTCATCACCCCCTGTCTACATTTGCTGTGATTCTGGGGATTATGACAAGGCTTGGTTTGAGCTGATAAATTCGGTAGGATGTGTTTAACAAAGCATCTTGAGAGACCTGGGAGAGCCCAAGCCAGTTTCCAAAGTGACACCCAAAGACTTGTTAGGGTCACACCTAGCAGGAACCGCAGCTGAACTTGGGGACGGTGCCTGTCCTCCTGCCTAGCTGGTCCGGGCACGCAGCTGACCCTTTGCAGAGCACACACTGCTGAAGGCCTCCCTTGTCTGGAAGGTCTCCGGCCATCTGTCCCTTCAGTGAGGATTAGAAAGTTCAGAGCAGCAGGAAGGGGAATTATCAGTCCTTAGGGTCCCAACAGGCTCCAGGAATTGTTTTTGGTTTTTCTGGGACTTCCCTCTTGATTATATAAACATTACTAGAAAACAACAAAACAAAAATTAGGAAAATACTGAAGAAAATACTGAAGAATACTGAAGCAAATGCAAAAAATGAAATTACCCACAACCTTACAGCCCAGGACCACCAATAGCATTTTCAGACCCTGGCTTTAGGCTTCCCCTGAGGACACGGGGGAGGGCATGCTCATGTGTGTTCACCTATACTGTTGTCAGTGCTTTCCAGGAAACAAATAGGGAATAAATAACTAAACATATGTGGATAATTAGGGTCATAATATATGCCTATTTTCACATCCTGCATTTTTCACTTAACTGGATATTGTGTTTTCCCTGTGCCGTTCTAGTCTTCAAAAATAACATTTTGGGGCGCCTGGGTGGCTCAGTCTGTTAAGCATCTGACTCTTGGTTTTCGCTCATAATCTCACAGTTCGTGAGTTCAAGCCCTGCATCTGGCTCTGTGCTGACAGTGCAGAGCCTGCTTGGGTTTCTCTCTCTCCCTCTCTCTCTCTCTCTCTCTCTCTCTCTCTCTGCCCCTTCCCCACTTGTGCTTGCTCTCTCTCTCTCTCTCTCTCTCTCAGAATAAATAAATAAACATTTAAAAAGTTTAAATAACATTGTGATAACATGTGCTTTGGTTTTAAACGTGACGCAAGCCCTTGGTGAGGACCTCTGCGGCATACATCACGGTATGTGGCCCTGGTTAGCTCACCACTAGACCCTAATCATGGCTTACATCTTGTCCTTGTGTCTCCACTTCACTTTTTCCTGTTCCTGAGTCAATTTCCACGTGTGTGTGCATATTTCTGCATTTTTACTTCTGTGCATTTATACAACTTTTCATACTCCCATTTCCCCACATTACTCATGTGGTGAGTTTTTTCTTTTTTTTTTTTTAGTTTATTTCTTTTAAGAGAGAGTGCGTACGAGTGGGGGAGGGACAGAGAGAGAGAGGGAGGGAGGGAGGGAGGGAGGGAGGGAGGGAGAGAGAGAGAGAGAGAGAGAGAGAGAGAGAATCCCACGCAGGCTCCACACCATCAGTGCAGAGCCCCATGCAGGGCTAGAACTCACAATCTGTGAGATTATGGCCTGAGCCAAAACCAAGAGCCAGACGCTTAACCAACTGAGCCACCCAGGCACCTCTTAAATTCTGTTTTTAAACCTCACCTGAATGACAAACGAATATTACATTATACGGTGGTACCATATTTTGCCTTTCCAACACCCAATTCGGGGACACTGGGTTGTTTCTAATGTCTAATATGATAAATAGTGCCGGAAAGAACATCTTGTCCCATGAAACTTTATGTTCGTCTCTAATGTTTTCTGGAATCTTTGGGAAATTAATTAAAACTTTGGCTCAGTTCTATGTTAGGCTAAAAGGCTGTCACTGCTGCCCGCCCCCAGCCCACTTAGTGAATACTGAAATTCTCACTGAAGTGACAAGGGGTTTCTGTTTTGATAGGATGCTTCCAGTGACAGAGCACTCACTACCAACTGCTCACATTTGAGCATCACAAACAAGGTCCTTCCATCGATCAAAACAGAATTTAGTGCTACAAATCAGGGACATGGAGAACTAGTTAGTTCTTTCCCATGGGTTCTTCACATAGTCAGACATGTCTCTACCCCTTCCTCCTCCATTCTAATAAACTTGAGTCATTAGAGTTTCCTTCTGGGGGCACCTGGGTGGCTCAGTTTTTTGAGCATCTGACTCTTGACCTTGACTCGGGTCATGATCTCACAGTCGTGAGATCAAGCCCCATGTTGGGCTCTGCGCTGGACATGGAGCCTGCGTGGGATTCTCCCTCTCCCTCTGGCCCTCCCCCATTCTCCCTTTCTCAGAAAACAAGACAAAGAATTTAAGAGTTTTCTTCTTCTGAAGAAGGGGGGGGGAACCCCTCCCCATCATGGGCTCTTTCCTCTGGCTCCCCCCTGGTGCCTTCATCCCTCCTAGCCTTTGCAGGCATTCTGCAATTCATATGTATTTAGGAGAATAAGTCTTGAATGCACTCTAACTGATAAGGTGTAGATGTACCACAGCTACACCCTGGGGACAGCTGTAGCATCAGGGTTGAGCTCACCTACCACCTTTGCAGCCCGACCGTCCTGGTCCTTGGCCCTGCTCCAGCCCTCAGTGGCTGTGTGACTTTGGGCACGTTCCTGAATTTCTCTGGGCCACCTATGTTGTAGGAGGAATGAGGTGAGATGACACACGTGCAGAACTCACAGGGGGCAGCACAAGGTCTGCCCTAGGTGCTGCGTAGACCACCCCGGTGGTCGGATTCCAGCAGCGAATTCTCCACCTGGCAACTGCGAGACGACACAGAAGACACATGCCATTTAATGCCCCCCTTAGATCCTACAGGAACAAACTCTCTGGTCCCAGTGGGACGAAGCACCCAGGGTTTCGAGTGTGCCCACAGGTTGCCATATGGTGGGGAGGAGCGTGATGAGGAGCTCACCAGACAGTACCGGTGTGCTTGGACCTGTTTATCTGGAGCATCCCTGACAGGGACACAGGGGCTGTAAGTCAGACATGCCCAGTAAGTAGGAAGGCTTCAGGCATGGCTGGTTTCAGGTCACCTGCTCAGCTCTGCTGCTGAGATGCTGACCAGACACACACACACACACACACACACACACACACACACACACACACCCTTTTCAGCAGGCAACTCCCAGATCCAGGACCTCAAGACCTGGGATCAGCTCTGGAAATGGAACAAATAAAAGCCCAAAAACAAAAGAAAATAAAGAAGACAGGTCTTGGTTTAGCCTTCCGAAGTACATGGCATTCTGTATGCTGCTGTGATCTGGTCAGAAATGAAGATGTTTGCAGGCTGGTTACAATAAGATTTGGGGAAGGGAATGAAAGAATGGCTGGAATTACTCTGCAGCTCTGATGAGGAGACCTACTGCTCCCATCATCCCCAGTTCTGATCCAGCGGCACCTAAGAGCTGTACAAGAGGCAGCTTAGAGGGAGAACCGAGGGCCTGGGGCTTCCCTGTTCTCCAGGAAGCCCCCAGGCCCACAGCTCGGGTGACAAGGGGACGAGCAAGTCACTTGGAGGGTGGAGAGCTGCCTAAATTTCATTAACTCAGAGCCTCTGGATGGAGCTCGTAAGATGTCTGTGAATGAAGCGTTGAAATACCTTTCATTGTTTCAAGCACTGATGATCATTTTCTCTCCCTGCTGCATTTATAGTCATCACTGCTGCTAAGATGCCTGTTTCGTTACGGTCCGTGCCTCACCAGGGTAACTAGAGTCCAAGAGAGGCCTTGTGCTGCACGCCCCAGTACATCCAGTACATCCAGCACATCCCAGTACAATGTGCCTTTGCACGGCCATTCCTTCTGGGCAGAAGACCTGTCTCTGTCCTGTCCATTGTGTAAACTCCTATTCATCTTTTGAAACCCTTTTCAAAGGCGTTGAAACCGAGAAACCTGGGAGTCATCCGTTTCTGACAGCTCTCCTTCTGAGCCTACTCCCAGCTCCCACTGCCTCTACCTTGGGGATCGCTCCCCTCCCCTTCCACCCTCACTGCAATGCCGACAGGCCTCAGCACCTGTCCCCCAACACGGCCTGCCTCTAAGTACCAAGTACTGGACCAGGTATGTCACAAACACTTCATCCCTCAGCAGCCCTGTGGCACCCACCCGAGATACGGGCAAACTGCGAGTGTGCGGATCCACCACTAACTTGTTCCGCGACCTTGGGCAGTTTGCTCCCTCCCTCCTTGGCCTCAGTTTTCTCATGTATAAATGGGGAGCTTACATGACACTGTCTTTAAGACTGCTTATAGGTCTAAAACTGGATACTTCAGTTTCTTCCTTAAAAAAAGAAATCCCTGTAGTGGGCTGGTGTTTTCAGTTTTATATTTGGAACTGTGAACGTTTTAAGGGGAACATTGATCAAATGGACTCCATGATGCATGCCAACAGGGCCTTCAGAAAGCAGATTTGAACTAAACACAGAACCTCTTCGAGGGGCGTGTTGCAACTGAATTTACAAAATAATTTCCTAGGTCTGCACTCCTGAGCGATGAAAGGGCACAGGCCTTAGAAATAAGAAGACCCAGGTTGAAAACTGGCTCTGCCACCTATGATGACCACCTTCTTGAGTTTTCTGGGCCTCAGGCTCCCCCTGGAAAATGGAGATAAAGTAAACAACCGCAGAGGACTGCGGTGAGAAATGAAGCACATGGTGTTTGTAAAGTGCTTGGAGCAGCACTGGCCTGTGTAAGTAGCTGCAGTTATTACCATTATCATTGTCACTGTCACTTTTAGCAGAACGACAAGGTCAGGGGTCAGTGGGAGGGTGCCCCTGCCCACGCAAAGCCTCTTGGGTGATGAAACCACCTCCGCACAGACCACGAAAGGTATCTGCCAGCATGGGCAGACCTTAACACCAAAGGCCAGACCCACCTTGAGGCTTAAGTCAAGTAAGTCACCCAAGGCGCTCACCCACTTTTCAGAACCACAACTTGAAGGAATCGCCTGATCCTGGGGGCCGTCGATGGCCTTCCCTCCTTGAAGGTGTCCACACGGAGACAACACGACCCTCTCTGAAAAACAGGGAAAGGTCTCCACCCATGGTGGCCAGGCTGTGTCCTGAGCTACTGAGGCAGAAAAGCCCGGTGGGTGTGGGAAAGCAGGGCAGGTATTAGCTGTGCCGCACTGGGTGCCACAGAGGCTGGGCCACCACACGGAGACCGGGGCCCTGTACGAACTCAGAAGAGCACTTGCCCCAAGAGACAGAACGCAGTAGCAAGGTGAATTTCCACGTTACACATTATCTTCGAAACTCATCTCCTTAATTCGGAAGGATTGAAACTCAAATCTCCTTTTCCAGTGTCTCTGAGAGCCCTCGGACAGGGGTTCTTTCCTCAAAGGGGAGAAATAAAATTAAAACCTTGCCTTCTCCTGCCAAAGCCCATATTTTCTTCCATTCAGGAGCCCCGCTGACCATATTCCCCCAAATACCCTTAGAAAATCAAGTCGGCCGTGCCAGCAGGCAATGACAGACACCTGGCAGGTGAGGTCAAGGCTACTTCACCCGGGCACTTTGTGACCCAACCGGGTATCTCCATGTTTGGAAGAGCTTCTCTCCCTCTGCCCTTTTCTTAAAGACAATAACAGTAACAGCACAATCCAAACTTTGTTTTGTTGGAGGTCAGTCTGTTTACTGAACAAAGGTCTAGGTTTGGGAATACCTGGGCACTGTGGATAAAGAAGGATGTGGAGTTCTGTGGGCTTTTTTTTATTTACTTGTTTAGACAGAGAGAGAGAGAGAGAGAGAGAGAGAGAGAGAGAGAGCTCAAAAGGGGAGGGGCTGAAAGAGAGGGAGAGAGAGAACCCCAAGCAGGCTCCGAGATATCAGCACAGAGCCTGACTCAGGGCGTGAACTCATGAACCGTGAGATCATGAGCTGAGCCAAAATCAAGAATCAGACACTTAACTGAATGAGTCACCCAGGTGCCCCTGGAGTTTTTGGTTTTTTAAAGTCTTGGGAGCTTTGCTACCAGGCCAGGGGGCTCACAGCACCAGGATCACGTCAGAATCACCTGGGCAGTCTTAAGAAATACCAATGCCTGACTCCATGCCAGGCAATGAAATTGGAATCTCTGGGCATGTGATGGAGGGCAGATAAATCAACCAAACCCGGCTCTCCTGATATCAGGTGACAGGAACAGCCTTCCCCACCCATATAATGGGGGAAGCAATGTGCCAATCTCATAGGGCCATTGCAAAGGTTAAATAAGTCAGCTCGTGGGAAATGCTTAATAGCATGCGCCCAGCTCTTCCCAAGACCGTGAGGGGGATGAGTGCTAATACTGGGCTGTGTGCAACACCTTGACATCATCGCATAGGTGGGAAGCTCTCTAGAGCTCAGTAGTGTAAAGCGGGAGCCCATGCCTGAGTCCCAGTGTCCTCACCTGTGAAATGGGGTAATGACCCCCAGAAAGTCATTCCGAAGATTAGGTGACACGAGTTATGGAAAGTTTAAGACACGCACGGCCCAGTGCACACCAACACACGTTGGCTCTCACTGTTGCAAAAGGTGATGTACCACCTGGAAGTGCCCCATTATGGAGACGCTGGGTTGAGGGACTGGCCAAAGGTCACCAACTGAGAAACAGAACACCCAAGATTTGAACCTCAGACTGTCTTTTCTCCAAAGTCCACATTTCCCCTCCTTGTCAATCTCCGCTCTTACAGTGGGTTGGTCGCTTCTTGCACAAGAGCTTCAGCCCTCAGGCTGGCATTCGAGGCCTTTGAGGTTGGGCTCCAACCAGCCTTCCCAATCCTACCTGCACTCACATCCGCTGTTCCTGGAATGTGCACTGCGCACCGTCGCCCCGGGGCTTCAAGTCCTACTTCTGTGCATGCTTCTTCCAGAGCCTGGTCCAGACGCCTGCCCCCCAGTGATCTGCCTGCTAGCATGTGCTTCTCCCTCTGCTGAGGTCCCCTGTCAATTATTTTAGTGTTTCGGATACACTGCATGTCACTTACAGGCATATCTGTCCTGCTGGACTGTGGGCTCTCAGGACTGGAACTTGTCCTTATTTCTGTTCTGGCCACTGCCTCCAGTAATCCAACCTAATGCCTTCGGTTTTCAAATGGGGGTTGAGGGAAACATGTTGTCATAAATTGACCCATCTGATTCACAAGAGATGTCACAGACATACTTAACACTATTAATTTTCCGTGAGGTTTGGCTGTGAGGCGTTTGGCAAACTGTCCATGATGAGTATTTGACAGCCAGTCATGCTGGGAATTCGGGGCGGCAGATGGGTGTGGTTGGCAGCATATGGCTGAGTGTAGGTTCGGTGTTTATGCATTTTTACAAACTATGACTTTATATTTAAGCGTAAAGAAGGGAAAGAATTCAAAATTAAGTTGTGCATTTTGAGGAGTTGTGTTCATGCTTTTAAATGAGAAGCAAGTTTAGGGATACAGACAGGATCGCTCTCTGGGACCATCATGGAGGGGAAAAGCTTTGAACGTTCTTGCCCTAGAATGACCTCTGGTGCTGATAAGGGGCCTACCTGATTGACTGAGTTCCTATATTTTCTGGATTCATTTGACAGACAGGTTCTAAACTCTTGCCAATAAGGAACACATTGCCCCATAGGATCTGGGCTTTGGGGGGAAAAGATTAGATTCCATTTGTTTTACAGAAATACATCCAGACCTCAGCTACCTTGTAACTCCAAGAGGGATTATTAAATCTTGGCTTTTGGAGATCAGCCTATCCAACAACTGCCTTGTTCTATGGATTGGGAGAGTGAGCCCAGGAAGGGCAGTGACTTACCCAAGGTCACTACCCAAGGTGGGTAGAGCTGGGGCAAGGATCCTCTTCTTTTAGTTCAGGGACCACCTCCCTGCACACACTGTGCTGTGTAACTGAATGTAGGCATGGCTGGGGTTGGGAAAGACCCTGAGCCATCTTGGGAGGAGCGGTTTGGATCCAGAGCCACATGAACCCTTTGTCCCATCTCTCCTGGGTCAAGCAGGTCAGAGCTGGAGGGGCATTGGAGAATGTCTAGCCCTGTGTGTGTGTTCCCAGGCTGGAAGGAGGAGGCAGTGAGCCAGGAGCAAGAAAATCCCAAGCCCAATAATGTTGAAGGTGCTAATGACATTTTGGGGGAAGGGCCTTTGGGAAGTAATTAGGGTCAGACGAGGTCACAAGGTAGGATCCTCAGGATGAGAGCCACGCCTGGATAAAAAGAGGAGGAGACATGGAATGTTGCTCAATGCTCTCTACCACATGAGGACACAACAGGAAGACGGCCATCTGCAGGCCAAGAAAAGTGCTCTCTCCAGGTCCTTGATCTGCTAGGGCCCTGATTTTGGACTTCCAGCTGCCAGAACTGTGAGCAGTCAATATTTGCTATTTAAGCCACCCAGGATATGGTAACTTGTTATGGAAGCCTGAGCTGAAACACTAATCTCATACAACCTCTTCATTTTATAAATGAATAGACTGAAGCCAGACAGGGCAAGTGACTTTTTCAAAGCCACACAAGACCCAGGACATTCAGCCAAACCACACGTTTGTCTTTCTGCCCCACACCCTTGCTAAAGGGTCAGAAAATTCTCCACCCTTATGGGTACATCCAGAAAAGGCTAGAACCATTCCACACATCCTCTGAGGCGTTAGAATGCTCAAGTCAGGAGGACTTGAAAGATTTCCTGTTTTTAAAAAACTCAAATCGAAAAGTGCTGTCATTTTCCTTAAATACATTCTTTTGAATAAAACATCTATTCTTGATGCCAGCAGCAGGCTTCGAAACATGTTCAAGATGACATGATTGATAACAAGAAGGCTTTTTCAAGATGTTTCTAATTTCATCTTCCTGGTTAAAGAATGCGAACTTTCTCACATGATGTATGGTCTAATAAGAAGGTGTGCTTGAACCAAAGTTATTTATTTATGCTTCCATCTTTGACAGATGAATATTAACTACTGAGAAAATTGTAAAGCCAATTAGTAAAAGCTGAATAACGTCCATATGAGAATGTGAGCACAGAAACACCGGTTACTTGGCTTCCAAATGCGGAGCCACAGACATTCCCTGCCTTCCTCTGGGAGGCAGTAGCCCTGCAGGGCACGGTGGCCCCTCCCCCCCCCCCCCCAGTGCCCTTGGGTTGGCCTTGATGACGCCCAGTCCGAGAGCTCATTCTGGGATGCACAAGGGAGGGGCACCCGTGCCGCTGAATTTCCTCCACGCAGGAGCTGCAGAAAAATCACACTGCTCAGCCACTGACCCCCAGCACCGCAGGCAGATGAGCGAGAACAAAGAGAAGCTCCAGAGATGAGCTCTGCTCTTCTCTGCCTCCGGGAGGGAGTCTGCAGTGGGGTAAATGGGGGTCACAAGCTGTCTCACCCACTCATCTCCTCCTAGTCTGGTCTGGTCTGCTCTTCACGAAGAGCTTGCTCACAGGAGCTGGGCGTGCTACAAGTATTTACTGAGCACCCACGATGTGCCAGGCACCAGAAACTCAAAACAGACACAGTCCCTGCTCTCATGGGGCTTCCAGTCCAGAAGGCAGTGAGACAGCAGTATTGCAATATCCCGGGGATCCCGTGAGAAAGCTCTGAGGCAGGCGGGGACAGGGTCGTTCCGCACCCCCTTGCACAGCCCTCTCATGGCTGAAGCTGAGAAAGGGAGGGGGAGGGGCTGACAGCAGCTTCCAACATTAACAAAAGGTTAATTTATCCAACACGTGCTGCAAATGTTGTGTTGGGCTTCCAGAAGTGCAGAACAAACAACCTGAGATTTCACTTGAAGGCTGTAAATTATTCTTTCCCCCAGCACCCTGGGCACCAATCTGTCATCCTGCGTTTCCTCGGTCCATTGCTAATTTTTAATAATTTCTTGACAACTGCTTGCTCCGTATTAACATCACAATACCACGTTGCAGTTCAAGAAAGCAGTGTAGCAGGACACCCCCCCCTTCAGTCATCCCCTCAATGCCCCGCCTATTTAGCCAATGATCAGATCTGCCCAGAGACTGACCTGCATGCTTTTTTCCATTACAAGCACCCTGTCTTTAAAGGAAAAGGCCTTTCTCCAACCTGAACCACCAGTGGTAATTAAAAACCCAGCAGAGCTACCATTTGGCTCCGTCCCCTGACTCTCCTTGTCTTGTCTGGGGCCCTCACTAAAGTATGGGAATGAATTTTCCATTAAGGATCCCTTGCCTGCTTGATGAGTCCCAGATGATACAGTGGACTCTGCAAGAAGGAACAGAGATCAGACCTAGGGTTGTAGACTCCTAGCCTATCTGAACGGAGAGGAACCTTGGGGCTATTCCCATCCTAACCCTTGATTTTTTTTTTTCCCTTGTCCAGAGAAGGACAGTGCCTCCATCCACAGAGGAATGTCACACACACAAGAATGTCAGGCCTGGGGCAGGAACACCGCTCTTGGCCATTACTAGATCACTCTGACCAAAGCACACTGCTACTCCCCATTCAGCCGTGTCCACCTCCTCGCCCCAATTCATCTTCCTGGGATTTGACACCCTAAATAAACTACATGAAATTCCCAGCAGCTCATTAAGAATCCAGTCCCATGTGTGTGATGGAAAACACTAGCAATTGTGAACAAGGCGTTTGCACGTTTGATTATGTATAGCAGTTTCTAAGCCCCCTCTGGACTAAAATCTCTGGTGTTCCAGAGGAGAGTACATGGAATTTCAATTTCTCCCTGGGCTTAAGTACAGAATGTGCAAAGTCACAAACTGCTTTTCATGGCCAAATTGATTAGCTTCTCTACATCCTCACCTAAGGAAATGCAAGGGGTCCAAGCGCTCAGTTTCAGCACAGAATCTATCCTTAAGTTAAATGCAAACGTTGTTCGTCATTACTCAGCTGGCTCTTCTTTGAGAGGAATTTCATTGTAATACGATTGGACAAACCCGTGGAATAATATTAAAACCATAAACTATATAGAAGTACATATGATGGCAGGCAGAGGGGATAAGTCAGGAACTCTGAAAAGTTATTATCATGCTCCAAATTGAGTGTCACAGCATCTAACTACAACTCATAATGTTAACTCTCAGACTCTTTAGACATCTTTATTTCTTGTCGGGGAAGTTATCATTTGTCATGTTGGACCGCCTGAGTATCCATTTTATATCAAAGACAACAAAAATATGTAATTTTATATGTTCCTGTACCCATCATTTTAGCACAAAAGGACTTTATACTCAAATTAATACACTTGTGCAGAATGCTAGTTTTGAAAACCATAGCACAGCAGTAAATGAAGAACATTACATGACACATGCAACTCCTTCTGCCATTTTTTTTAGATAAGACAGAAGGAGAGGAAAAGGGAGTGTGTATCATTATAAGTCACTTCCTAAAGTGTAGAAATCTCCTTTTCATCACTGTCATTTGGTGATCAGCTTCATTAACATGTAATTATCTGTTAGTGGGAGGTGAGACTTTTTTTTTTCTGTCATGGAATTTGCAAAGAAATATACCAGCCCCACCCAAGTTCCTGGTGCCCTGCGCGTCTTCTGGATTTGGGCTTTGGTGGTGCATCAGGACCAGAGAAATGAGGTAATGAGGAAATAAGACAGAGAAAGACAAATACTGTATGTTGTCACCCACATGTGGAATCTTAAAAAGCCGAACTCATAGAAACAGAGACTAGAATGGTGGTTTCCAGGGGCTGCAGAGTTGGGGGAAGTGGGGAGATGTCAGTCCAAAGGTACAAACTTCAGTTATAAGATGAGTCGGTTCTGGGGATCTATCATACAGCATAATGATTAGAGTTCGCAATACTGTATTGTACACTTGAAAGCTTCTAAGAGAGTAGCTTTTAAATGCTTTCATCACAAAAAGAAATGGTAATTATGTGAGGTGATGGAGGTGTTAACTAACCCTATTGTGGTGATGATTTCACAACATAAACATGTATCAAATCATTATGTACACCTTAAATTTACACCACGTTGCATGCCAATTATATCTCGGTAAAGCTGGGGGGGGTAGCTTGTTTTTTTAAGAATATACAGAGGTGAGAGTCACATGACAAGGCTAAGTGAAGAAATGAGGTCGAGATAGGCACTGACCTTAGAGAACTTACTTCTACTAGTTCCACCACAGTCCTATAACTTGTGGTAGCTTACCTAACACCTTCCTGAGCCTCTTATTCCTCATTTGTAAACCCAGGATAATCATATCACCTCCTTCATAGCAGTGCAGAAGTAAATGACTGGAAAACCTTCATCGACAGCCGGGATCATAGTAAGTGCTCAATAAATGTTAGCTGTTCATCTCTTGCTAACACCTGAGAAATTCTTTTCTTATGTCTCTTAATCTCTCTTTAATACCTTCTCCTTTTGCCTTCCAAGCATGAAAGTACCCGAATTTCATGAAATTGTTGGGTCGAAATCTATATGCCTTGTTGATTTCACTAACGGTTCCAAATTGCCCCTTCAAAAACACTAGCATATTTTGCATTTGGCATTCACACGATGCTGACAAGAGAAACCAATAAGTAATTTCAAGACCATGAGAAAGTTACTAAGTGTGTAGAAGCTTCTGAGGTGTATTTATTTTCGATCAAAGAAAATAGTCATCTTGATAGCTAAGAGAGGTATTTCTGTATAAATGGAAATAAACTATTCTTGCTCACATAACTCAAAAACATAGAATAAATGGGGTGACAATGCCAATGCCCCCCCCACCTCTCTCCATTCACTCCTTTGTCCTGACCTTGCCTATATCTCCCTGAAAAACTAAAGGCATTAACCAAGCTCATGAATCATCCCTTACCATCCCCTTGAGCTGGTCCCACCTCCCCTCCCTCCCTCATTTCACAGCTCAAAAGAGGCTCTCAACTTCCCACAGACCAGTCACTCCATGTGTGTCTGGACTCTAGCCTCTAATCTGTCTTCAAATTTTCACACGTCCAATCTTCGCTCCCTGGATCATCCATTCTGCACCACCCACCACCGCCTCACCCCCTGAGCGTTCCCATCAGGGCAAAAGCACGCTCCTAAGTCTCCCATCTGGGGACAAGAACGCTGTCTCCTGACCCCAGGCTCCCACCTGCTTCACTCAGGAGATGTCCTCATGTCAGTTCCACTCCTATTGCTTGTCTGTCAGCAACTCCCTCCACTGGGGCTTCTGCGCCCACCCCTCCACGGAAACTGCCCCCTCTGAAGTCACCCGGACCTCCTCCCCTCCACTCAGATCTGAGAGCTGGCATGCCCTGGGGTCCCACCTTCTCTCCCTATTCCCTCAGCACGTACCACACCTGAGCAAGCAGACCCAATGGCTTCAACTACAAGCACCTGCTATGCTGCATGGTGGCCTTTTCTGGTCACTGGAGCATGCTCAGCTCACACAGGAGACCAGAAGCCCCGGGGAGTTAGCACTTCCTCGAAGCAGCCCTTCACCCATGACTGCCAGGATCCAGGGGATAAATAGCCCAGCTCCCTCACCTTTTGTGGGGGATAACCTTGAGGCATATTTTACAGTATCTACTAGAATTCCCAGGCTAGGTTGAGCCACAGTGTGATTGATTATTCGTCAGAGGTTGCTATGGACTGAATTGTGCCCTCCCAAAATTCCTATGCCAAAGCCCTAATCCTCTCTCACTCTCTTTCACTCTCCCCAGCCCCCACTAGGTGAGGCCACAGCAAGGAGATAGTCATCTGCAACACAGGAAGAGGAGCTCCACCATAACCTGCTCATGCTGGCCCCTTGATCTCAGGTGTCCAGCCCCCAGAACTACGAGAAATAAATGACTGATGAGCAAGCTTCCCCCTCCCCGCCCCTGCCATCTGTGGCATTTTATTATGGGAGCCTGGACTCATACAGGCGTTATATGATTAGAACTGACAGACACCGAAGCCGGCTGATTCAAGGGCGAGGTCCAGGCTGGAGATACAAACCCAGGAGGCCTCAGCACGCGGACAAGTTAGTACAACAAAAGGGGGGTAATATACTTCCTACCTCACAGGTGGCTGTGAGGACTGAAATAGATACTTCACATGGCCTGCTTAGCACTGTGGTAGGGCACGTATGAAAGCTTGGTAAATGGGACTGTTAACCTGCAGAAGATCACACAAGGATATGCTCTTGGAATCACAGAATTTTGGATAGATTCTCTAGCTCAAAAACCTTAATTTGTAGCTAGGGAGACTAAGCTAAGCCAAGATTATTGACTTGCCTGGCATTTTTCTACCATTAACGATTGTTTTTTTTAAGATTTACAGACCCAGCCATAAAGGAGGAAGGTGAAGTTTAACCGTACCTTGATATTCAATTAGACAGAAGGGTACCAATAAACCTTGGAAATGCCAACGCCAAAGAGCACTCTTTAGTCCTGATTTTGTGACTCCTTCTTCATCCAATGCTGCTGGCCAGTCTCCTAATTTGGTTTCCATGAAATGATTCTCTCTCGATTTCCTGAAGAGAAAGAGAGGGAAAGAGGAAACATTAAAAGGCAAAAGGGAAAGTGACTGGGGTTGCATCCCCTGGAAGCAGAGCCCATGACAGGATTGTAGGGTCCTGAGTCAGTGAAGGAAGCAGCACGGGGCAGGGCGGGTACCAAGAAGGATGTGACCTCAAGTGGAGACGAGCCTCGTCTCCCGGGCAGCTCCAGAGCAGGAACTGCACCAGAAGTGGGTCCCACCTGGCGGAAGGAGAGCAGCTGCGCGTGCTCGCATTGGTCAGTCAATGGAATGGGCAGTCAGGGCAGCGAGGGCGCATTCCAGGGTGGGTTGTTCACAGGCAGCCCCTGTCTCACTGAGGGCAATTCTGCAAGAAGGGGGCAGCTGTGAATTAGCCCCCAACACTCACAGCAGCGAGAAGGTGGGTGCACCTGCTCCCCAGAAAGGGGATCTGGGTAGAGACCCCATTATGCCCACCACGGAGACAGGGAGGGCAGAAGCGAGGACCGCTGTATTCACCGATCATCGGAGAAGTGCCCTAGAGGCTTCATTCTCATGACTGCCATCTTCCTAAAAACCCAACAAGGTCAGTGGGTAGGCATTACTAATTCCAGCTTATTGATGAGGAAAAAGGGAGCGTTTGTCCAAAATTTCGAAGGAACAATGAAGTGACCCCCCCACCCCCAGAAAACAACCAACCAATGTGAGAAAGTGTCAAATTATTCACTTTTAAAGACCAGCCCAGAAGGACCTCAAAACCTCAATTCTAGGATTAGGGAGAAGGCTTCAGACATCGATTTCCTATACTGCTTAAATTTTCCAGGCCCCAAGTTCCAAGTCTATCAAATGGGCATGGCATTAATGGACTGTGGTAGGCTGAGTAATCGTCTCCAAAGATTCCTACAGCCTACTTTTGGGAACCTGTGAATGTTACCTTACATGGCACAGGGGATTTTACAGATGTGATTAAAGTAAGGGTCTTGAGGTGGAAATTATCCTGGATTATCTGGTGAATTCTAAATGTAGTCACAAATGTCCTTAGAGAGAGAAGCAGAGAGAGACTGGCAACAGAAAAGAAGAAGGCCATGTGACAACAGAAGCAGATTCAGAGAAAGAAGATGCCAAGCCTCTGGCTTTGAAGATGAAGAAGGGGCCCACGAGCCAAGGAATATTCTAGAAGCAACAAACGTAAGGAAATGGGACTCTCCTGGAGCCTCCAGAAGGAACTAGCCAATACTTTTATTTTAGCCCCGTAAGACTCTCTTTGAACTTCTGACTTCCAGAATTGAGAATAAATCTGAATTATTCCAAGCCACTGAGTCTGTGATCATCTGTAACAGCAGCAAGAAGAAAACAAATACACTGGATGTCAGTTCACTCTTAGGAAAATCATGCACCTGGCTCACAGACTAGTGCTCTCAAGGCCTGGAGCAGGGCCAGGGGGAGACAGGGAAAGGGGTTGTAGATCCAGTTCCCCTGATCCACAGCTGCTGGACTCCCCTGCCTCGCTTGGGGGCTCCCTGGGTGTTCCCACTGCACAGCCTCCCCTCAGCCAGGAGCCGGGCAGGAGAAGGACTTTAGGGCACGTCTGCTGACTGACTGAGTTCTGGGTGTTTGCAGCTCAGGCGGCCTGGGCACGAATAAGGCCAGGTTCGAGCTGGACCAGCAGCAGGAGTTGTGCACCTACAGAAAGGCGTGCAGGCCTGCAGAATGAGTGAGCGCAGCCCCGATGAACAAGGCCAGCAACACTCAGGCTCCCTCAGGGCCCTCAGAGACCCAGCTGAGAGCAGGACACGGAGCCAGAGCTGAAGGAGGGGAACTGTCCACCCACCTCTGCCACCGATGTGCCCTGTGACTTCAGACAAGTCTCCCCCGACCCTGCTTGTTGGGCCCCCATCTCCCAGTCTGTGGGCAGCGTGTGAGCTGGGTGATGCCCAAGGAGCCAGCCCGCTCTGATGCTGGGTAGCCCCAGACTCCAGCCAGGCTGACCCCAGTGGACACTCAGCACTTGGAGGTTCACAGAGTCAAAGGCTCGGGGAGAGCACATCCCAGGACCTGCAAAAGCCAGGTGAAAGAGGCAATGCCAGGAATGCACCGTCAAAATGTTTTGTCTAAAAACGGGCCGACGCAGCCTGCAAAATGCCTATTGTACATGGATCCTAAACCAACAGAGACTGAACGGAGCATGCCAGATAAATGTACAGAAAACGGGAGCGGCCCACTGTGGGCAGAAAACACATGAACCGGTTCCTAGGAGAGAAAGGTGGCTGAAAAGGGGCCCAGGGCTCTGGGGTCTTCTCAGTGACAGCACTGACCAAGAATCTTCCAAGACTCCCTCTCAACTGCCTGGGAAGAGAGAGGCCTCTTAACCAGCACGGAGTGAGCTGGTGTGTTATTTGCATTTATGGTAATCCCCTGTGGCCGGTTAGGGAGCTGAACTTGGAGAGGAAAAGCACCTGCTCAAGGTCAGAAGGCTACAAAGTGGCTGAATTAGGATTCAACACCACGGCTGTTGAACCCCAAACCCCAAAGCTTTTAGCCACTAGACAAACTACAGAGATGAAGTAAGACAATGTTTCCCATAGTAGACCATCCCGGGTCACTAACAGAAAGTTCTGGAGGTTACAGCACATGCCTAAGCTTTGGAGTGGTCATGGTAAAAGGAAGTGATCACGCTTGTCCAACAAACAAATGTCCATCACTCTATCAAGAACACAAACAAGGACGAAAGGACTGAGCATGGTATGGGATTGTCCCTCAGGAACCCCCGAGGCCAACAGCGGGCACTGGCTTGCTCTCAGAAAGGACTTTACTATGGGTCAGAGCTGAAGGTGGAATGGGCCCCCAGAGGTAGTGAGCTTCCCATCACAAGGGATGTTCACAGAAAACCTTTCCGGGGTGTCCGGGTGGCTCAGTCGGTTAAGCGTCCGACTTCGGCTCAGGTCATGAGTTCCAGCCCCGCATCGGTCTCTGTGCTGAAAGCTCAGAGCCTGGAGCCTCCTTCAAATTCTATGTCTGCCTCTCTCTCTGCCCCTCCCCAGCTTGCTCTCTCTCTCTCTCTCTCCCTCTCTGTCTCTCTCTCTCTCTCCCAAAAATAAACATTTAAAAAAAATCTTTTTTTTTAAAGAAAACCTTTCCAAAACACAGACTTGACACTATCTGCCTCATCCTCGGTGTTACAGGCTCTTCCCAGTCTCACACACATCTCTTTGCCACCAGCCTATTCTCTACACGCTGGAACCTCTTACCAAGTTCAGGCCTCTCAGCCCTCAACCACACTGCCCCTCTGCTGAAACATCCATGAGCCCTTCCGACTCCTCCAGACTCCACAGTTTTTATGGATCTGCTCAAACACCGCTCCTTGGCCAGCCACACCGCAAGCAGGTCTGGGGACACGATGTCTACGCTCCCGTGCAATCAACTTCCTATTTGCCTCCTTCCCCACCTCTCTGGTGGTCATCCAACAGCAGTAACTTTGCTCCCATTACCTACCACCACGCCTAACTCTAAGTCGGCCCCTATTAATGTTTTTGCGTGACAGTAACTGGCTTATGGTTTGCACCCCTAAGCCAGGCTTGCTGCCTTCCTGTCTTCCTGGAGAGAAAAGCCAGCACGCCCACAGCGCTGCTCCTGAAAGCTCTGAACTCAGAGTGAAAGCCGGCCCTGCTCTGCCGGGAAGCCTGCGGCTGGGTAGCTAATCAGGTCATCTTTGAAGCTGAGACCACAACAATTTTATTTAAAAAAATTAAAAAGCTCAGGGAAGAAATAATCAAGGAGCTCAATTAGGGACATCTGGGCTCAGAAATCATAAAAGTCAGTGATATTTTACAAATAAGAAGGCTTTCCCGATTCTCAAGGGACACACCAAGGTTCGTCGGTGTCCAACCATTTGCACCTCCTCCCTCATGGAGATTAAGACACATCTCCCCAGCCTCCCTCTGCATCTCTGCTGTTTCAACACTGAAGACAATCCTCTGGCACATGGCCGTATGGGCCAGATGGTTAGCACTTCTTCAGGCAGGATACAGTTCCATTCCTTCCTCACGACGGGAATGTGGGGGCTGGCTCTTGGTGGAACCCAATGACGGACAGAAGCAACAGTTCCCTCTCTTCCAAGGAAATGTGCGTGGAGAGCCACCCAGGGCCCTGACATCAGCCAATTCCAATTCAATGTCTCTGACCAAGTCATCCCATGGAATACCCCAGTAAGCTCTCATGGGAACACATGGGCACAACCAGGGGTGACCTTCTAGCAGACAGCATCGGACTCAATAATATTTCAAACCCCCCATGCTTGTACAGACCTTTGTTATTTGCAAATGGCTTGTGCACACCCCCTTTCATTCAGCAGCCCCAGAATGTTCAGAGAAGATGCCATTGGTCTCTCCCTGTTGCACATACAGAGCCCAAGTCCCAGAGAAGGGAAGAGACTTTCCCAGACTGTTTCCTGTTTTCTAACTCCAAGGTCTCCTTATGGTGCCTTCACCATCTCTGCAGCACAGAGTAAGAGATCAGTAAGTGTTTTCAGTTTAATTGTATTTCTGCACTGAAACAATGAAAAGACGGCTCTTGGTGTTGGTGTGGATCTATTTTAGGGAGCACAGGATAAGGTGTCCAAATGGTGGGGGTGCATCCTGAGTGCCCCACTCACGACCCAGCAGAGACATTCACACATCTCATGAACCGAGTCAATGCACTCTCATGGCCCAGAACGATCCACCCTCCCCCTGGGGATCACACGGCTGCCAGGGGGCAAGAGCAAGTTTTGAACCCGAGCTGCCCGACCACAAAGTCCCTGCATCACCTCCCAGAGGAGGCTTGACTTGTTGCCCATCCCAGCCACCAATCTCCTCTTTCGGTGTCTCTTTTGACTCCTGAGGCTCCATCTCTCAGATTTTTGGCATTTGTATCTTGTGGCTCACCTCCACTGACATAGTGGGGTGTTGAATGACTCTATATTTGTCACCTATACCTTAAGAGAAACGACTGTGGGTCACACATCAGCTCCTTCAGGAGGACCAGGGTTTTCTACCGTCTTCTCCGGTGATCCCTTGCATAAGGAACCAGAGAGTCGCCAGGGAGGGGTGTTCGAGTCAGGGCCCTTCTCTGGCGGCCCTGCCCCGGAAGCACACCTATGGATTTGGCAGGGAGCAGGTGCAGAGGAGTTTCTGCCAGGCCACCTCGAGGGAGTGCAGTTTCAAATTCCTCATGAACACTGATCCTTGGGAGTCACTTGGAAGTTCACACTGCAAGATGCATGAACAGCCCACTTTTTGCAGAGAACTAGGTGGGGGCAGTTCAGGCAGAGGACCAACTGGTTCCAAAGAGGCGGTGCACAGCTGCAATCTGGGCCCTGGTCTGTGCAGCCTCCCACACATCCCAATCCTTCCAGTCGGAGGGAGGAGGGTGCTGGGTCTGCCTGCTCTCATCACTCCACTGGACAAAATCTTCCTCCTTTGCCCTCTCTTCTCCCTCTCCAGGTGACAAGGCAGAAGGCCATTTACCACCCATGGTGTCGCCACGCCGGGGCCGGCCCACGCGTAGCAGTCAGGAGAAGCCAGGTTGTGTCACTGCGACAACTGACTCCCACTCAGTGGCTTCTCCCCAGGCACGGTTTGTCACTTGCACGTATGCGCACGGCAGAGTTTGTCCTCACCCCTCCCGTGGCAGGAGAAGCAAACGTAGCAAATCATACTCCAGCCCTGAGAACTTCTGTCCAGGGTGATACACACATTTTTCCTTATGTTTCATTGGCCCCAAGCAAGTCGGAGGCATTGCCTAATTTTAATGGATCAGAAGTATGGTTCTACCACTTGCCCAGAGGCGAACGGCAAATATTGGGTGAACAGCATGAAGGACTACCACACCATGATAGCAGAAACAATAACAATGATAAAATATTAAAAGAAGCTGACATTTATTGGTATTTACCATACACCAGGCATTGGGCTAAGTGCTTTGTATCCTTTATTTCATTTAATATTTACAACAAGGTGGATGTTAATATAAAGCCTGAATTTATAGGTGAAGAAATGGAGGCTCGTGACTCCAAGGGACTTGCCCAAGGTCAGCTGGTACGTGATGGCCTGGGACTTAAACCCAGGACCCTAAGGCGCTAAGACCATAATGTTAATCTCTCCTCCACCCCTGCGCCCACACATATTTAGGGACACTTGGAATGGGCAAAAGACAACCACGATGACTTTGAGGGAATAGTCAGAAACACTGCTTTTTCATCTTACTCTCAAGCCACGGAGCCCAGTCACATGTAGCAGGTGGCTTCAAGGCCCAGGAGGAAAGCACCTTTCTTGAATC